AAAAGAAAATAAACTTGGCCGAGGAGAAAGGTCAGCAGCTTAAGTGTCTTGCCTGGCAGAGTCCCAAGTTCAATACCTGTACCACAAAAATAAATAAATAAATAAAAAAAAAAAAAAAGAACAAAAATCAGAAACAAAGACAGAAACAGGATAACATACAACAATACATATGTTACAGATTTTCAAAACAGGAATAGCTGATCAACACTGGTTGATATATTATCTATTTTTATTGTCAAATCTGTTGCTCAGATTAACAGATATAGTCATGTAACATTGGACATACGATTGAATGTTACTGCTTGCTTTCAAGAAATCTTAAATTTTTGTTGTCTCTCTTTTTTTTCTTTTATTACCTTTTTTTAAAAACTTATTTTAGCACAGGGGCTGAAGGTTTGATCCCCAGGCCTGCTGTGCTGGCCCCACCCCTGGGGCAAGCTGAGACAGCAATTGAGACTGGGCATGGTGGTAGACGCCTGTAATCCCAGCTTTTGGGAGGCTGTAAACAGGCAGATCACTACAAGTCCAATCTAGTAGTGAGACCTTGAACACCCTGTTGACCCTTCCCTAAAATACAAAAAAAAAAAAAATATTTTAAAGGGAGTAATCGATATGACATTAGCAATGGTATGCGTTTGGAAGACCAAGATGACAAGTAGTCAAGCATGATTTTTGTGTTACACATTGCTATCCTCAATGTAGTTGCTTAGATCACAGATATCAGCATAGAGTTAGTCAAGATGGAAATTCTACACATTAACTTCTATTTTTAAAAGAAAACTGGGGGGCAGGAGAGATGGCTCGGTGGAATAAGTGCTTCCCTCCCTTATATTGTATGCAGGCAACTTGCCCTGGGGGGGGGGGCATGTAGCACTCACACCTATAACCCCACATTGTACCATTTTATCTCTAATGGTGTTTGTAAGTAGGATATCAAGTCCATATCTTGTACAGCAATTAACCACTAGGAAGAATGTATGCAATGTGTTAATTACTGAAACTGCCCTACCAATTTGGTTTGAAACTGTCTCATTGCTATGTGTTTCTCAATAAAATTGTGGAAAAAAATTCTTTTCTTTTTCTCCTCAAGTACTTCCCTCCAGGTAGGAAATTCCTCACCTACTTTCTGTCACTATCAATTGGATTGCACCATTTAAAATACTATATAAAGTTCTACAGAATCATACAGTACACACGTGCCAGTTTTTATCTCTTTTGACAAGATAGCCAAGCAAAGCAACTACATGGAAAAAATTAATTTTGGTTTGAGTTCCAGTGGTTTCAGCCCATGTTTGACCAGCTCACTTATTTCTGGGCCTGTGATGAGACCCATACATCATGGTGAAAGGGCATGGGGGAGCAAAATTGCTCACTTTGTGATGGCCAGAAGGGAGAGAAAAGGAGGAGGCAGGCAGACTGAGAGAGAGAAGGGGCTCATCTCTGTGACCCACTGCCATCAACTAGGTTCCACCTTCTAAGTTTCTATCCCTTCTGAATAATGCTAAAAAATTATGAAATCATCAGTGGATCGATCCACTGATGAAGTTAAAGACCTTTTAATCATCTACAAGCTCCACCTCTCAATACAACCCTGGAGGTTTTGGAGACATTTAAGATTTAAACCTTGCTATGGTATAGTTTTAAAATGCACCCCCCAGCTCCCTGTCAAGTGTGGTGGTAAATGCTTATAATCCCAGCACTTGGGAGGCTGAGGCAGGAGGACTGCTGCATGTTTGAAGCCAGCCTAGATTACAGAGTGAGTTTAAGGCCAGCCTGAACTGCATAGTGAAACCTTGTCTCAAAAAGACAAAAGAAATGTACTCCAAAGAATGTCATGTATTCAGAGGTGGGTCTTAGAAAGTGACTGCATCATGGAGGAACTAACTCATGGAGGATTCATCCATGAAATTCACAACTGAATGTGCTGTTAAGAGGTGGGGTCTTTTTGGAAGAGAGGGTTCAGGGAGGTGTGACCTAAAGTGTTGTGTTCTTGGCCTGGCTGTGCCTCCTCCTCCTTCTCATGGCTATTTCAGCTTTAGAGCCAGCCAGTCAAGGACTGAGCCCTTTTAAACCATGAACCAAAACAAACTTTTCCTCCTTCAAGTTGTGATTGTTGAATATTTTTATCTCAGCTGAGGAAATGTGACTAATACAGAAAAATGGTGCCAAAAGTAGGGTCATTGTGTTGCTCCAGGGTTGAAGTCTTACTGTACCAGTATTGGAGTTTGATTAATCACTGTACCTGATGCCCAAAGAATTATTTATCAAAGTACAGTAAAATAATTTTAAAATAAAATCAACAACCACCTATGTTCTTACAACAATGCAAGGATTATAAGATCTTATGTCCACTTTTGCTACTGAACCCTTCAGCTGTGAAAAAGCTGTGGCCTCTACAGAGGGTCTTGGGGTCTCTCTCTCTCTCCCACTCTTTCTCTTTCTCTTTCTCTCTCTCTCTCTCTTTTCTTCATTTTAATTTTGTTGCTCCTCTGTTAATAGCTTCACTATATGTCTTATTCCAAACACTGCAATTTCTCAATAAATTTATTGAACAATATTCACCAAAGGCATAAGCTTAAGCAGTAGAACTTAAGCACTAGCAGCAAATTTTAAATTTTTAATTTTAACCAATCTATTTCACTAGACAAGGCAAAAGCATCGAGTCATAACCAACCCTTGCCCTAATGAATACATCTAAGCAATCAACAAATGCCTAGCAACTGAGCTGCAATTTCCACTGCAGCATCCTTAAGCAAGACAAAGCTGTGAAAAACTACACCCAGTGCGAATAAGAAGTGAGAAACCCTCAGAAGAGGACTAAACTCCACAAAGGATGGTTGCACACATCCGGCCTGCTCAGATGGCAATCCAAAGGCCTCTTGCACCCTTTTGCTTTTCTTAAAAATAAAAAAATGAATTTGTGTGCCCTATAGAGGCCAAGCCATGATCTAAGTGGAAGCACTGATATTGTATCCTTAACACAGTGGTACTCAGTACCACCACATCAGTTTATTAGGGTTATCTCTGCATTTAGAGACTGCAGGGATGGGAGCTTGTTTCTACTTCCTCCTGCTATCAGCATGATACTCAGAGTAAACTGGCCAGTGGAGGCTTTTGAAGCCCCAAACTGATGCTTATATCAGTGACTTAGAATTGGGACAGCATGCTGCTCTTTCTTTTAGCCCCTCTAATATATGAGCTACCATGAACAACTAGAATAAGTATTTTTAAATATTTACTTGTAATCATCCATTTATTTATTTAATATTCACTGGTGGTAAGCACTATTTCAGGTGTTTAGAATACAGTGTCAGAAAATACATTGCATGTTCTTTAAAACATGTGAAGGATGAAGACAAACAATGGACAATATACAGTGTCACCAACAAGACAGAATCTGGGTGACTTCATTACTGCTTCTTACATCTTTAAACAGCACCTTGTCTAATGGTGCCAAACTCTACTACAAGGAATAATAAACTTTTTCTCATTTATGAGGCCTCAACCACATACACTGCTTTTGTAAAATTTCCTCTATGAAAATGCCTGGTCAGATTGACTATCACGGAATTAATATGCAAAGGACATACTGACTGCTTAAAAATATACATTAACACGTTGGCTTATTCAACCACATCTGTGCATATTCAGAAAAATCAGATTTATTCAAGTGTAACCTTTAGGTAAGTGTGCAGAAATTACCAGTCATCCTCACCCATCACACCTATTTTCACAATGTATATTCTCACAGCTTTATGGTTTAGAATGAAACTTCATCTATAAAGGGCTACTGTTGGATAAATGTATATGAATAGGAACAATTGACATGTTAATCCATTAACACACATAAAATCTCTCTGCATGCACTGTACATATACATGTTATACATAATAGTATACTAGCAGTAGTATGTATTTACATATTTCTTCAGGTTAGCTCAAAATATAACATAGAAAGACCTATGCTTAAATTTTTGTTTGCCTTATTTGGTTTTTATTTTTAATTAATATAAAATGATTACACATATGTATAGGGTATAATGTGGGACTTCTTTTACTTGTATGTTTTTTATTTATTTCAATGAGAGAAAAAGATAAAATAGCAATGAAACAGTTTCAAAATAGGTTAGTATGACAGTTACAATAATTAATACACTGCATATTGTTGTCTTCATAGTAGTTATTCAGAGGACAAGATGCAGACATGATATTTTGTCTAAACAATATTAGTAAAAACCTTTCTTTTCAACAAGCTAAGAGAAAGTACCTGTATATCTATCCCAACTATTTTATGTATACATATATTTTTTTCACAGCAAAACAATATTTTATTTATATTTTTGCAAAGTTAGTAACATGTGACACAAGGTTTTCTAGTGACTAATAGCTGACCTTAACCAGGCAGGATGTTTATCTCAGGACTGAGGTAGCTTGTTTGCTTTAGGCACTGAGGTCTAGTCCCACCTACACACATTTGATAGATTTCCTAGCTTCCATGGCTCCCAACATATCCACCTTTTTTGTTTTGTTATGTCAGAGATGGTTGTTCCACTGCAGTTAGAGAGGCTGTATTTGGAGAAGTCTTTAAAGTGGAATTTCACTGCATGTATAAAATTGTAATGATCAAGCAAGGGTGAATAGCACATCCATGGCCTCAAACACAGGGGAGCATTCCGAGTCCTCTCTTCCAACTATTTTGAAGTCCATAATAAATTATTACTAACTATAGTCACAGAATACCAGAAATTATTCCTCAAATCTGTAAACTAACCTCTCTCTGTTACCCTGTCCCCTTCCTAGCCTCTGGCAACTATTATTCTATTCTCCAAATGTGTGAGATCAACTTTTCTTTAGCTTACACACATGAGTAAGAACATAAAGGATTTGTCTTTCTGTATCTGGATTATTTCTTTTAATATAACGTCCTCCCACTCATCAATGTTACTGCAAATGACAAAATTTCATTCATTTTTATAGCTGAGTAGAACACATTTTCTTTATGCATTAATCTGCTGATGAAGGAAAAAATATGTTTGACAGAGGTGACACAAGTAGTGAAAGGCAGCCAGCATGAATTGATAGAATGAACACCTAAAGACAAGCTTCTATCTAGTTCATAAATTTACCTAAATCTAGGCTGTAAATCATTAATCTTGTGGCTAAATAATCTCACAGACAATCCATCAGTGAAGCGTCAGTCCCTAGCAAGCAGCATTAATCTTCCATACAGTGCCCTGTCTTACAGGTTTGGCGCTCACTAAATATATATTTGTGGCTGGCCCAACATCCCAGTGGCCAGTTCCTTCTTTTTAAGGAAATGCGACAGATCTGAGGCTCAGGATCGAGTGGCCATCCATCAAAGCCTGAGCTTCTTACAGATCCACTGTAAAGGAACTTCACAGCTAGAGCTTTGGAGACCATGTACGTTGATAACACCACACCTCTGTACAAAGCTGTTAGAAGAAACCCTAGAAAAAATCAGAAAAAATCCATCATTCCTAGCAACACACGCAGGAAAGGAAAAGCACAAAGGGATAAAAACTGAGCAAATCCTCTCTTCCTATTCAGATACCTCAGCTCCCAAAACAGCAGAAAAATAAAAACTGTTACTTAGCCTCTCTTGAAGATATCATCATTTCATTTTTGCCCTTCATCCCTTGCTCCTCTTTTCCTCTCCTCCCTCTTTCATCTCTGGTCTGCCTTCTGTCTTTCATTTATTTCCCAAGGCCCCCAATTATTTCTTTCCTATCTCTTCTTTCTTCCCTCACCCCTCCTTTGAAGCCCTTTACCTTGAAAAGTTTAGAGCTGATCCATCTTCCCACCTCCAACTAGAATTTTTCCTCAAACCAATCCAGTAATAGTCTTTATTGATTAAATGTTGGATATGGCTCTAAAGGAGAATTGAAGAGGTTGAAGAGAGATGAGAAAGATGAAGAAAACCTAAGAGACTGTCTGTTATGCAATTACTTCTTATACCTTCCTTTATGACCACAGTTGAGAACTGAATACTTTTGACACCTTAAAATTTATATGTTAGGCTGTACCCCCAGTGTAATGGTGTCTGAAGATGGAACCTTCTGGAGTAATCACATTCATGTGAGCTGCTGACGGTGGCACTGCCAGGATGGGGTTCACGTCCTTGTAGTAGGGAAAGCCCAGAGCTCTCTCCAAATGAGAACATAGTGAAAAGGCAGCCTTTTGCAAACTGGAAGAGAGCTTTATTAGGGAACTAAATCTGCCGGCACCTTGCACTCAGACCCCACAGTCTCCAGAACTGTGAGAAACATGGCTGTTGTTTAGCTCCACCACTCTGCAGTATTTTTATTATAGCAGCCTAAGCTAGATCAAGCACCAGTCTAAATAACTTACTCCTCCTTTAATTTCTAATTCTACAGATCTATTTTTGCAAAGCAGAGCAGTTTTCTAGAAATGGCCTTTATGTCTGTAATTACATTCTTATAATGTGACAGATAAGATAATGTTATGCCTCTCTCTTCCACTGCAACTTCCTTCTTAATTAGATGGAACATGTGATAGATACTCAAAAGAAAAGACAAACATCATTCCAGAAGCAGTCGCCTTTCTTGTCATCATCACTGAATACAGAAATTAGGGTTAAACTGGTAGCAGTATACTTGTGTGCTCCACATTAAACTCTCGTGTTTCAAGTCCTCATCAACCTTGTATATGACAAGAACAAAAAGCAAGTTCTTAAGGGAACCAGCCCAAGGGAAAGCTAAGCTGACTGCACCACCTCTGTGAGCCCTGCTACCCAGGGGAACAGAGTTAAAAGATGCCTTTCTCTATACAACTTTACAATCAAATGTAGTAGAAGTTTATACCTTAAGGAAATCACTTCTGTAAGACAAGTTAGATAAAGGGTAAACCCAAGAAGATTAATTGTGCTGTAAGAGCTGGTGTTAGTATAATGAATAATTTCACTTTCAGTATTTTCTAATGACAGCTCAATAAAGTGAATTTGAATATAAAGAGTTGAGTGATTTATTTGGGAGAAAATAGTCACTTTTATCCAGAAACATCTTGCTTTCTTGAGCAATAAAATTTCAACTTTTTATATATATTTTGATACCATCAGATGTCCTATTGCAGAATACAAACAAAACTTAGGAAGAAACAGCATTGAGAAGGTTTAGGAGCCAGTTTCTTTATACCGGTGGGCTTGACTGGGATCAGTCCCAAAGAATTAGACAACCCACCCCCACCTGCAGGGCTTGGGGGCTTTTATAGGGAGGGCAAATGGGGAGGTATAAAGGCATTCTTGGCACATTATGGTTGGAAGACCAGATGACATCATGGGTTGCTAAGGGAGTTTAAACAAGTTATGTTGCAAGGCCATCAGTTACAAGTGCATGAGTTACATAAAGGCAGGAGTGTCCCATCATATTTGAAGTCACACTGCAAGGCCATCAGTTACACAAAGGCCATAAAGACAGAAGTTTATACAAAAGGAGTGTTCTATTATTGGGCTTGCCAGACATGTCTGCTTGGCCTTGGCAGGCATCCTGGGCAGGCTTTTATATAAAATTTTTAATTTCTGCCTTCAGCCCCATCTTGCTGTCATTTTTATTCTATTTGTAAAAGGTAACTGTTGAAGAATTAGAATTCATGGGCTCTGCTCTTAACTATCTATCTCCCTTTATCCAATTGGATCTTTCACCAGCAAAAGAGGCATAAAATCTACAAAGTCAACAGGTGCCTAAAACACCTTTGCACTCACAGTAAAGATGCTACCAGAGGTAAGGAAGTCTTTTGGGTGATTTTCCAACTATTCTCGCCTCACTGTCTTTCAAACATAAAACTATAAAATCTTTTCCATATATACAATGCACTGCATGACCTAGACTTGGCAACCCTTTGCTCACTGAGTTCCAGCCCCTTGAGCCTTTTCTGTCCTTTTACTATGCCAAGCATATTCTTGCTTTAGAGTCTTTGCACAGCTTTTCCCATTCCTTTCTCCTAGGCTTTCACACTACTGTCATCCACGCTCACCTCAAGCATTTCCTCCAAAGTAGGGCCTTCTTTCCTTGGCCCCTCTGAAGCAATACGCACATTCACTATCATAGTATGCAGTTTCCTTTCCTTTAAAGAATACAACACAGCACCATGCTTATTTGCTTACCTTTTTGTTATCTGTCTCTTCTGCCTAACAGACATAAGCACTGCAGTGCTTACAATAACCCCAACACCTGAAGTTATGAAACTATGTTCAGTAAGGAGTCGCTGAACAAAAGATTATAGAGTCAGGTGTTACATTGCAAGAGACTAATGCATACTTAAACACAAATTTGGCAGTGTCTACCCCCATGCAGGACTAAACTGTTTATGTTGGGAGCAGAGAGATAGTCTGAACACAGAAAAATGGGTAAGAGGGGCCTGCCCCTTAGCTCAGTTCTTTAAGTGGCTGCTTCAACAAAGCAGTTAGGCTCAGGTTGCTGTGGTTCGATCCCCACAACTCAAGCCAGCCAAACCTGCCCTGAGGGCATTCGGAGCAAAAAAAAAAAAAAGAAAAAAAAGAAAAATGAGTAAGAGAAATGAAACCAGCTTGCTTTTTTAAATTATTTAAATTGGGATGAGCTGAATGTTTTCTCATTTCTCCATCTGATTTTCCATTCCTTTATCTTGTCCTTCCAAGATGAATGGCAAATAATAAAGCACAGAAATGAATAAAGACATCCTCAGAAAGTTCAAGTAGTATTTCAAGAGCTGGGATTAGATAATGCCCATTTATAAAATTTAATCCCTAGGGCTGGCCAAACAGCTCAGCAGATTAAAGCACCTGCAAGCAGGCGCAGAGGCTGGGGGTTCAATCCCTGGGCCTGCCTTGCTGGCCCTGCCCTCGGGGCATGCTGAGACCCAATTGAGAATGGTTGCGGTGGTGCACACCTGTAATCCCAGCTCTTCGGCGGCTATAAACAAGAAGATCACTACGAATCTGATCTAGTAGTGAAAGCTTGAACACCCTGTATACCCTTCCCTAAAAAAAAAAAATAAAATAAAATCCATAAAAATTAAAAAATAAATCCCTGTGCTCACCAAATGTTCTCAGACCTGTACAATTCTAAGCCACACCCCTACATCTTCAGATAGCGCATGCATATGTGTGCGGGTGTGGAGAATGTCAGTGAGTGTGAGTGACTACAGAAAAATAGCATAAAAGTACAAATAAGGGCATTAACCTAGATTTTTGTCCCCCAGCAAGGGTGTGAAGTATAGCAGGCGGGTGTCATTTCAAATTGAATTTGTAACATTTGCCTGTCTTTGAGAAAGAAAAATCACAAAAACTAAAAGCAACAACGAGGTAAAAACAGAATCCAAAAAATTAATTTGTGTACATTTTTCTTTCCTTTTCCTTTTTTAGTTAATATTTATAACCTTATGCACACACAATTTTATATGTAATATTTTTAAATTGAAATTAAAATATTATTGAGTCACAAACATATTCCTTAAACTTTCAAAGTCAACATGGTTCATGAAGTGTAAGTTATTTCAACACATATCAAGGAAAAAGCAATACTATCCAAAAACTACTAAATGAGTCATATCTTTTGATTATCCAACTCATTTTTAGTGAATATATCACACAAATGATCCCAAGAAAAAATAACCCATACACATAAGCTCATGGCTCATAAAAATTATACATAGGTAGAATTTTGTTTAAGAATAGGAAAAGATTTAAGCAGTAATAGAATAATACAACCTGTATAAATAATTTCTAAAAGTAAAAGTTTGCAAATTTTTAAATTACCTGCACTAATTTGGTGCTAGAAAAGGAAAAGAAAGAATGAACTAATGTTACAGGCTGGGGAGATAGCTCAGTAGAATAAGTGTTTGCCTGGCAAGCACAGGGTGCTGAGTTCAATCCCCTTTCCCTCAAGAAAACAAGCAAGCAAGCAAGCAAGAAAGAAAGTTACATACTAAAAGCAGAACATAAAATACAGGGTGTCCAAAACTCAAGAAAGTCAGAATACACATTATTTTAAAATTTTGTTCTGTATTTTTAAGCAGTATCACCAGCATGCATAATTTGAGCAGCTGCTGAGCCCCAACTTTCTGAGGCAATGTCCTGCACCACGACCCTTGCTCCCATTTGCTGGCATTTGCAAGGCTGCAGTGTCTTAAATCCGTTGCTCACTTCTGCTACTGACTTTAGTCAGCTCACATCCTTGGTAGCAGCTCTAGGAGAATGAGCCTAGTAGGTGGAGCAACGAGGTCTGGAGAGCCAGGCCACTGCTGTCAGGACCTGATAAAACACAGAGTGCACATCTACTACGCAGACTCTGTGCATTGTGCCTCTCAGCACAAAGGGCAAGCCACAGAGAGGGACTGACGTGGAGCTTAGAGTCTACCCAGAATTTCAAATGAGTAAGTGTTGCTTTGACCAAAACAAGAATCTAGATGCTTAAATCTTTTCTTAATATGGGAAGTTATGAAATATAAGGCCCACATGTTCTTAACTGCTTTAGAGTAATTGCCTCTCTGGATTTCCCCAGGGGTTAATATAGTTAAATTCTTAATAAACAGATCTGTGATCTGGTTCTACTCAAAAAAGAAAACAGTAGTATCAAATGTAAAAGTAAGCATGAAACTAGCACTAAAAATCTGACTGAGATTTCTTACTTTCAATGTGCATATTCATATTCATTCTAATTAAAGCTGATTGATTTTTATACCAAGGTGTTAGTTCCTTGTAACCATCTTGAGATACCCAAGACTGGAAGAGACTTCTCAAAAAAGGGACTGCGGGATAGGCAAGAAGGATTGGAGAAGCCTGCAGGGATAGAGAGCCCACTATCTCCCCTGAACTCTGAACTCTCCATGTATTCAAGCACACAATTTCTCCCATCTCCCCTCTCCCTTCCTCCCTTCCTCCTTTTATCCCCAATTTCTGAACACTGTTCCCAGTCTAAAACTGACTGAACTCTAATGAATGAAAGGCAAACACTAAAAAGAAAACATTTAATGAGGCAGGCATGGTGACACAAGCCTGTAACCCCAGCAGTCTGGTAGGCTGAGGCAGGAAAATCACAGGCTAGAACCCTGGACAGTTTCACAATTTAGACAGCCTCTGTCTCAAAATAAAAAGGGCTTGAGATGTAGTTCACTGTGAAAGTCCTAGGTTAAATCCCAGCACCAGGGGCTGGTGAGATGGCTCAGTGGTCTAAAGCACCTACTTAGAACAAGTTTAGCAAAGCACAGGGACCGCAGTTCAATCCCCCAGCACCACATGCCAGCCCTGCCCCCTGGTGGGCTGAGCTGGCCACACACACACACACACACACACACACACACACAAATAAAAATTTATTTTAAAAAAAATCCCAGCACCAAAGAAAAGTCAGTCAGTCAGTCAGTCAGTCAGTCTGTCTGTAGTGTTTGGTATGTGGATTGAACCCATGACCTTTACACCTTTTTGAAATATTGGAAGCAGTGTCTCGTGAAGTCACTACATTGCCCAGCCTGAGCTCAATCCACTAATCCTTCAGCCTCAGCCTCTCAGATTCGTGGAATTATAGGTGCACAGCACCATAGCTGACTAAAAACCTACATTTTATAAATGCTTTTATTTACCATTTCCTGATTGTCCATAAGCCTAAGGAGATGTGCATCGCTGGCTGTGCAGAATTCCAAACTAGAATTCCAGTCCTTTTTCTCCACTGAGAAATAATAACAGTGGTTACCATATTTCACCCAGAAGTCCGGGCAGCTAGGACAGCTGGCACGAGTGGAACCATGGAGACCTAGAAAGGAAGAGGAAGATGGTTCACATGTTCTTGGAGTCAACAGCCTTGAAAGTGAAAAAGGAGTGATATGGGGAGATGGCATTCCCAGTCTTCCCTGTTCTACCACCTTTCAGGTTAAGGTCTGAAGAAATACATAACAGCGCATGGCCTCCAACTCCATCAGCACTGGGTCACACTCCATGGAGCAAGGATGAAGGAGCAGGGGAGAAGATGCAGCACAATTTGCCTGAGGGCCGGGGGAGAGAACACCACTCATGCTAAAAAAACATCTCTGAGCACACTGATGCAGGCCAGACAGCAGAGCTGATCCCTGCCCGACGCACCCCTGCGTGCTGTCTGCACATGCTCCGCACACGCGCAGCACGGTGCACACTAACTCAGTCAGGCAGGTCCATCCTGTTCTCTTCACGTCCTACATAATGATGAGAAAAAGAAAGAGCAGAAAGGACAAACAACTAGACTAAAATGTTAATTATCCCAGATGTGATTATCTATAACACTGGAAATTGGGCAACATACTTATAGATCAGCAAAAAATATTTACTAAAAACTTCTGACAGTGAAAAGTGACAAAATTCTCTTCACTCAGGACTCAAATACAGATGATCCCGACTGGTTTTTCTTTTTCTTTTTTCTTTCTGTCTTGTTGTTGTTGTTGTTGTTGTTGTTGTTGTTGTTGGTTGGTTGGTTGGTTGGTTTGGTTTGGTTTGGATTGGTTTGGTTTGGTTTGGTTTGGTTTTTGAGACAGGGTCTTGCTATGCATTTCGGGCTGGCCTTGTGCTCACTTTTGCAGCTCCCAGGCTGGTCTCAAACTGGCAGAGATCCTCCTGTCTCAACCTCGCAGGTGCTCGGGATTACAGGAGTGTACCAGCATGCCTGGTTCCACCCAGACTGTTAAAATGATTGTATTGTATTCCTGTCAGAATGAAACAGGAAGGCTGTCCAAATAGCTCAGCGGATTAAAGCACCTGCAATCAGGCACAGGGTCCTGGGATTCAGTCCCCAGGCTTGCTGTGCCAGCCCCACCCACCCCACCCCCACCACCGGGGGAGCTGAGATGGTGATTGAGACTGGGTGTGGTGCTGCGCAGCTGCATCCTAGCACTTGGGAGGCTGTAAACAGGAGAATCACTACGAGTCTGATCTAATGGTGAGACCCTGAACACCCTGTAAGCCCTTCGTAGACCCTTCCCCCCCCAAAAAAAAAAGAGAATGAAACATGTTAAGGTTTTGAGAAAACTCCAAATCAGATTCTCTGAAATATGCTTACATAATCTCCCCAGGAGGACAGTCCTCCAGTGGGCAGAGGTGACCCCTTGCACCAAGTGAGCAGATGTTTAGATATACAATTACAAGACTGACTGTAAAACTAGTCACCTTTTGGGGGTTAAAAGTGGGCAGTAGTCCTTTTTCTTATAAAGATGAGGTAGTTTCCTGAGGAGAGGCCTGCTGGGGACCAGCATAGCCTTCTGTGGACCAGCTATTAAGTTGGCATTTTACAGATTTATACTTTTCTTCCATACAATTGTGATACTTCCCATCCCCTGCTTCAGAAATCTCTTACATCCCTAAGAGTTTTTCTGTCAAACATAGGCCATGAGTACCAGGTAGAGCCTGGGGCTAAACCCTTAGAATCCCAGGAGTTAATTCTATGTGAGCTGGGTCAGCAATTTCTGTACAAGCAATCATCCTCCATAGCATGAGCCAAGTGAGCACTCTAGATTGTGAAACAATAAACCGAGAGCCCTCTGATAATGCCCTTTATGCTCTAGAAGAACTAAACCTTGGGGGCCAGGGAGATGGCTCAGTAGAATAAGCACTTGCCTAACAAACTCAAGGGCCTGAATTCAATCCCTGGTTCCACAAGAAAAAAAAAAAAAAAGAACTAAACCTAGGAAAGCTCTTAAACAGGAAAAAAAATAAAAAGTCAGAATGTTAAATTAATTATGCAACATCTATTATGTAGGATAAACACCATTAGTATTATAACTTCATTATCATGATAAATGTTATAGTAGGAACAGGTTTATGACAATATGAAATTTAAAAGCAATATACAAAACTATAGGTAGCTCATGATCAGAATTATTGTTTTGTTTTGAAAAAGCAAAATTACAGAAGTGATTTAAGAGGACTTGATTGCAATTATGTTAAGAAAATAAATGTTAAGTACGTTAGTCAAAATGAGGCCATATTGAGAAAACAATTGTGTACAGCTAATAACTTATTTTATTGAGATTATCTATTCATTCTTCAAATTCTATGTGATGTGGCATTATTTTATAATTTTAAAAGGATAAAATGACATATGAATTTTAAGTCATCACTCACCGTGGCACAGAATCTGGTGGTACAGCAGCAGACTCATAAGGAGTATGTTCAAAAGCCCCATAGCTATTGTCACAAGACAGAAAAAACAAGACCTAGAAGGAAGCGCTGCAAAAACAGAACCCAAAGCAAAATCCTGAGTCTGAGGAAAGGCTGAAAGAAAAGAGAAAGCAGAGTAGGGTATCTGGGATCTTCAAAGTAGTTTTGCCTAGAAAGAACCAAGGCGGAGGTCTCAGATTCCTTTCTCAGATGTCAGGAACTTACTTAAAGTCCTAGATACCCAACAACTACCTCAGGGAAAATGTTATATTCATCCTGTTAAAGAAAACTTTCAGGCCTGTGGGACAGCTCAGCGGCACAAGCACCTGACTGGCATGTGCAAGATCCTAAGTTCTATCCCTGGTACCGCAAAAAAAAAAGAAAGAAAGAAAAAAGAAAACAAAGAAAGAAAAAAAAAGAAAAATTTCCATTTAAATTATGGCTTATATTTTTTGGTAAGAATATAAACTGGTGTAACTTCTTCACAATTTGTACAATAATTTGACCCCATTTTCCAAAATTGCAAAGGCATTTACATTTTAGCCCAGCAATTTCTCTTTGAGACATTTTCCCTACCAATATTCATAGATGCACAAAATGTCTTATATGTGAAGCTGTTCACTAACAACCAAAGAACAAATTCATTTTGACATAACCATAAAGTAAATATGCCACTTGTAACAAAGAAATGTCGTTGTTGTTTTTTTTTCTTGTTTGAACTGATTTTTAAAATATGTGGTTAAGGATAAGAAACATTCCTCATGGGGGGCCGGGGAGATGGCTCAGTGGAATAAGCGCTTCCCTGGCAAGCACAAGGGTCTGAGTTCAATCCCCAGTTCCGCCAAAAAAACAAAAAAATAAAAATAAATAAATAAAGAGAAGAAAGATTAAAAAAAAAAAAAGAAAGAAAGAAATATTCCTCAGAACAGGGTGTAGCAATATCTCTGCAAGTATCACTAAGAAGCTGATAACATTGTTTATCTCTGGAGAGGCAAAATGGACAGTTTCAATGCTGATAAAGTCTTACTGTTACCCATTAGAAAAATCATTGGTGTCTTTCTCATTTTATAGTCAGAAAAATAAAGATACCTCCAATTTACACAGCTGGACCAAGTCTCCTCTAAACATGAATAGAGATAAAAACTCTCCAACAAAGTTCTTGCTTTAATGCAAGAGCAATAAAGAATAATGGTACTGCCCTCATCTGGCATTAGATAAGCTCCTAGATGGGAAAGATTGAAATGAATTTACCTGAGATCTGAAACCTGAGATATTCTATACCTTATACCCAGTTTCTACAGTCCAGTGCAAGACTTCAAGCTGAACTCAAAATAATTCTTCAAATAATCTTCAGTTTTCCTGTACCCACTACATCAAATCTACTCTACCCTTCCTTCATGCCTGACCTACACTCCTCTGCCATCTTCCATGTTCACTCAGTTAACTCACCCTTTCGCTGTAGTCTGCAGTCATCCTGGGCCTCGACTACAGTGGGGAGCTCTACAGTAGAATAGATGGCACTGTCACGTCTCTCCATCTGCCAGCTTTTGCACTCAGTGGTAACAGTTAGGTCCTAGATGTGGGGCAGTGAGAAGACAGCCTAGTCTCTCAGCTGGCAACAGGAAACTTGACAAAAGCAGAAGTAATTTTTCAGGAAGTGATTCAGATTCTGGGGCTGCCTATAGAAATTGATATTGAAATATGCTTAAAAAATTGGTTTGCTCAGCCACACTTCCTAGAGGCTCATAAAATATATCTTAAAGGATTGTCAATCTTTCTTCATCCTACTGAGCAAGGGGAAACAATGATTCTCAAATCCCACAATTAAGGACATTAGGATAAAAATGAAGAGTCTCTAGCATTTATCTCAGATTTTTTTTCTCTGCTTTTTTTCCTTCTAGAAAGATAGATGTAAAGAAAAATGGGACTGATTTCACCATTTTGTGGACCTTTGAGAAGTGATAAATGATAGAGAAATAAACCGTTAGCCACATGTACATTAGAATCATGGGAGAGATGGACCACTGCTCAGTTATATTTTGTAAAAACAACATATGCTTGTCCCTCCCCAAAACAAGTTTTTCCAACTGTATTCTGTTTACTTTTTTCTTTTTAATGTATTTAGTTGTTACAGGGTCTCACTCTGCAGCTTGGACTCACAGTGAAAGCAGGAGGCTTTCAGCCTCACCAGTGCTGGGATTACAGGCATGCACCATGACACCTGGACTCTGTGGCTCAGCCTGCCGTGGGGGGGGGGGGGGAGTGTTGCCAGGGATCGAACCGCAGTCCCTGCACTTACCTATGTTGGCATAACCAGGCACTTTAGTAAGCTTAGCTATCTAAGCTATCTTTTGTTTTTGACAATTGATGGCACATTCTTGACAATCTCTGGATCAGAAAGGAAATCAAAAGGGATTTAAAAATATTTTCCACTGAAGTTGGACGTGATGGCAAATGCCCTCAATCCTAACACTTGGGTTGGGGCTGGAGCGATGGCTCAGTAGAATAAGCACTTCACTGGCAAGTGGAAGGGCATAAGTACAATCCCTGGTTCCACACACACACAAAAATCCTAACACTTGCGAGGTTGAGGCAGGAGGATCATGAGTTCAGCATAGCCTGACTGTATTACAAGACTTGGGGCCAGCCAGGTAGCTCAGCAGATTAAAGCACCTGCTTAGGGAGACACAAGGACTTGGGTTCAATCCCCCATGTGCTGTGCCAGCCCCGTACCCAGGGCATGCTGAGACAGTGACTGAGACTGGCGATAGTGGTGTGTGCCTATAATCCCAGAGTCTGGGAGGCTGAAAACAGGAGGATCACAAGTGTGATCTGTGTAGTGAGACCTTGTAGGCCCTGTACTAAACACATTGTTTAAAAAAGACCTTGTTAAAAATAAAATAAAATGGGGCTGGAGAGATGGCTCAGTGGTCTAAAGCACCTACTTGGAACAAGCTTGGCAAAGCACAGGGACCACGGTTCGATCCTCCAGCACCACATG